TTTATTTAATGATTAATCATCAATTATGTAATGTGGGTTGTATATAGTTGAATTGCTGAGCACTTTGTTATTGAAATTTTAAATGTGTTTGATTTTTAGTTGAAAAATTTCTATATTGTTAAGTTTATAAATATAACTTTATAATTAACATTTGTCACTACTACTTATTATGTTTTACTAATTTATTGTGTTTTTTGGTTTGACGAGATGGAATGTTTAGGAAGCCTTTAACCTCTTGATTAAATTGGCATTTTCATCACTGTGTGCTACTTATTAGTTTTTAAATTGGCTTCTCTTTTCCTTGTGGGAAGTGTTTGCGAGGTTTTCAAGTGTTTAGTGTATGTAAATATCCCTTCCTTAAATGAAAAAAAGTTGTTAAATTATAAAATTAAGTATAAAATTATATAAATATCACTTAACATAGAACTAGATTTATCCTTGAAAAGAATAATGAAAGTGATTACAATTGAATAAATTAATAAAATAAAAACACATATACCTCTGAAGGCCCATATTTTTCAATGGAGTTCATCTAAAAAATTTGATTATTATCCTTGTAGGATTATTTGGGGCACTAATAATACTTCTAATGTTATGACTTATTTTATTTTCTTTTTTCCATAGTTTTTTTTAATTGTTAAATAAAACCAATACAATTAAAAAGTAACTTCAATGCATGCAAGAAAAAAAATTAAAGTTAAAGAGGCAAAGAAAATAATCAAATAGAGTAGCAAAAAAATAAAATTAAAGAAAGTGTCGATAGATTTCCCTTTTGCAAGCAATCATCATAGCAAGAATTGCAACAAAATATATAAATAACAAAGAAACTCAATGCCTCCACCCTTTATTGCTACACTTTAACATGTTTAAGAGATTGAATTTCTCTATTTATCTAGATAGTGGTTATATATATATCTTTATGCTTACTAAATGATGAATTTAATATTTTTTTATTAATTTAAGTGTTCTTCACCCTTTTTTCCACTATTTTTCTCTAAATTCTTTTTTTTGCATAGGCTTTTTAGAACTTTACTTTTTAGGAAACAAAGAAAGCAAAAGAATAAAATAGCTTACATTGTTTGTAGTTGTTACTTTTAATTTCTTGCCATATTCAATACCTCTTTCAAATTCAAACATTTTAATGTGACAAAAAAGACAATATTGGTGCTCAAGTGTGCAAAAGAGTTATAAAACATTTTGGCACTTATCAGTTTGGATGTATGATTCAAACATTGCAATCCAAAAAACAACAATATTGTGAATGATATTTTTGTATACTCTTAGTTACATGTTATATTTATCTATTTGTATGTTACAATCTTAGCATTTTTTTCTTTTAGGAAGAAGTATGTGGTCACATTTAATTAGGAAGCCTATTATTTAGTCGTAGAACAGAATTTGAGACAATACATATAATTACTAAAGATAAAAATATAACCATCAATATGTGTTTATACTATACATTCAATGGATATTAATGCCCCGAGTAATAGAAATAGTAATTGTTATTTTGTGTTTTATCTCAATTGATTCACTATATAGTGTTCTATCACTATAGAACAAAGTTTGGTACCATTATATTTTAAAAAATTTTGTGAGTAAACTATAGATTTTATTAAAGTTTTATTGAGTGTTTGATACATAATGATTTTTTCATTGTCTTTTATTAAAGTAATTACAATATAGTAAATGACATTTTGGAAAGAATTCTACATCTATAATACCACCCTTTTGAGTTATATCAATTCTATTTTCTCTTCATTAAGCTTTTTATGAAGCTTAATTAGTCTTTTCAACAATTTGTTAGCTATAAAATTATTTTTTTGGCAACAAAGACACCACATCCATAATGTAAAGCAGTAAAATTAATTCTTAATCCTTTATTATTTTTTGCACCTCTCATTTGGTGAGCAAATAATCATTGAACTCTTTCAGAAAGTTTTTTGTTATTACAACTGCTAGTGCTGGAAAAATAGCCCTTATGTTTTGTGATAATTTTTAATTATTTATATGTTACTTGGTGATATAGTTTTCTTTGGATGTATTTTTTAAAATTGATAATTCTTCTTCTTGTATTTTTAGATTGTATTTGAAATTTCATCTTTATCTTTGAATTCATAAATATACTTATATGGGGACAATTAAGAACATCCAAATAACACATTTAAAAATTAATTGAATAAGACCTTTATATTTTCTATAGAAAAAGTCATATATAGTGTTTCTTACCTTCTTTTAATGAGATTAACTTAGTTCTAAAATTGATTCTATTTTTTGCATCCATTACTCTTCTCCCATTACCGTAAACAAAATATCTAATTTTTGGTGAAACATAGAAGCATCTTTTCAAATCTTGGACATAAAAAAACTTGATTATATCATTATGTTTTTTTCAACAAAAACAAATGAACATTTTGAGCTTGTTCTAATAGAAGAATCAATAAATAATTCTATTCATTTACATGTGATTGAGATAAGATAAGCATATGCAGTTAGCAAGTGTTGATAGTGATAAGAAATTTTAGCCCATCAAGGATTTTGTTATTTCAATAGATGATTTTTGACAAACCTTTTCTGACACTGCTCTTCGCGCAAGGTGGTTAGCCGGAAGAGAGTTGGTGATGGCGAGGCCTTGAGAGCCGTGAGGAAGGTCCTCACATTTTGGCGGCAGCTCAAGCGCTAGCATTTTATGTCCAGGGGTGAGACTGCATTGAGCCTTTTCTAGCCATGCAGCATGGAAGCAAACCCAAAGTTGTTTGCAAAGCATGATCCAGATGATGGAAGTGAATTCAAGGTAGGCGAAAGACCACCATCTAGAAGAAGAAGACCTAAAACTCCTGCAGGCAAGCAAGTATGATCTCATGTAGATCATACAATCTATCTCGTTAAGTTCTCCTTCCATTTGCTTGCTATCGTAGCCAAAATCCAGAAAGTAAGGCACCTGTTTGAATTGCCTTTCCGGTGCACTTGAGCAATCGTGGTTGTGATGCTACTCCCATTACGTATCCGCTTTGTCCAGCCTTGCCCATGCACGCGTCGTCTGCTTTTGTCTCCCGAGGATCGTCCGCTTTCCCGAAGGCTCATTCTCATGGGGCTATTGTATTTCTAAACACAGGCATTAAAAAAAATAAACAAGATTGAGACGTTGAAGTGAGGACCACGCTTTGACGGGCTGACGGTCAACGGTAAGGGCACTCATGGCTGCCTGGCGGGATGTTTAGGCCGTCGCTGGAGGAGATTCGCGCAGCGGCCCCGGCTACTCCGAGTTGGCGATCGGGGTCGCTGCTCCAGCCTCGTCTGCCACTGTGCCGCGCGATGGATCGGCAATGGTGGAAGAGCCGATCCATCGCGGCCCTGGCCAGGCGACCATCACCAATCGCTCGCCGGCATCGTCATTGTCGACCAGAGGCCAGTGGAGTGGCGATGAAGCCTTTCCTGGTAGTGATGAAGGGGCATCCAGCCACAGGGGTCTGACGCTCGCCGAATCCATGGCCAAATCCTGCTAGCGCAAGCTTCCATACAGGTGAGCTATTCTTTCAGCACTAGATTTTCTACATCTTTTGTTTTCTGAATTTTTACCACAACTATTCTCGGGAGGAGGCAACCATCAAATCCCACAATTTGGGAGTGAGCCGCGGTGGAAGCGTACACAAGGTCGTGGCTGGCTTTCCCAGTTTCCTATTCCACACTCAATTGTGGGCGATCTGAGCTCATCAAACAAGAATGTGGAACCCAGGTACGGACATGCCGATAGTATGACAGATTCTCCTGTTGCGGGCAGCCATGTCATGGCGCTTGTTAACTTCTTTGCTGCGGCAAGACTGATCCGGCTGGGAGTCTTAAACGCACCCTAAACTTTGCCGGACTGAGCTGCGAGATGGAGAGAGGGAATTCCAATCCATTGTATTGAAAAACAGGCACGTTTCTCTCCAGCTGTCTCAACAGAGCATGCTTCAATCGCCAATGCTTGCACTATCTTTCGGCCTGAAGCTGAGGATCATCCATGGATCAGCTGTAGATTCAGGGGTTGCACACAATCGAGATGTGTGAGGCGACGGCGTGGGCTAAGATATTCCTCGACCTCTTCTTTAGAGTAGAGATCTTCCTGCATTTCAGGCACGGCGCCAATATCTAAGAGCTGTAAGTTCATAGTCGATTCTTCCTCCAGGGAAATCTCTAAGCTAAAGAAGCTTTTGACTCTCTAGGATCTTTCGTGAGAAGTCTAGTATCGCAAGCTTCGACCGCATGCTAGAGGATGTTGTCGGCGACATGGAGGTGGATATCAACAGTGACGTGGACATCGTGGATGCTACCGCGAGCAATGCAGCCCGGCAGAGAGGGGTTTGAGCGAACTGTCCTCAATTTTGCTGAGGCTCTTCAAATTTTCTGCTAGTCTTCCCTGTGGCCTCCCTCAAAGCTTCAATGGCCATCTCTTGTCCTATAATTCCTCTTAAACCATCGCAACCACCTAGGATTTCCAGTGATGTAGAAATGAAACCGCATCGCATAGACAATAGCAGCGCTTGATCCCACAAGTGCAACAGCTTGAACTTGCCATCCAGCCGGTGGAGCAACGATGGCAGCCATGCCGAATCATAAACAGCTAGTTACTGACTCAACAGAACTACTGCTTTTTACCTCGCTCATCTGGTGAGGACACTCTCCAGGTGATCCAACAGCTCCTTGGCTTGCCACTGGCTTGCCGCGGTCCAAAAGTCAGGGCCGCCGTTAGAGCCGCCACAAAACTGGTCCTCCAAAAATTCAGTTCTCTTGGGACTGTAATCGAAACTATGAACATCGGGAAAAAAAACGGAATCACGCTTCCTCTCGAGAATCATGAACATGGAAAACAAAAGAAAGAGGAAAGAGCTACATGCCAGGCAACGATGACTATCGAGCTTGACCTGCGTCGACTTCCCTGTGGGGCCGCTAACGCAACCTGCTATACAGGTAAAACTCCTGAGTGCCGATCCAAACAAAAAGAGTAAACCCCACTTTCTTGGTTTTAGGGTTCTCGCAGTGTGCGTGGATCGATGGCGAGCGATGGTGGAGGAGGAGGCGACGCAGGCGAGACAGTGGAGACAATGCAGCTGCTCCCCCCGCCGGCCATTACTGTCGCGTCGTCTGGTGAGCCAATCGTGGCCCTGCTCTCTGTCCCATGACTCCCTGGCTCCTACTGTGAACAATGCACTGCTCTACGGACTCGCAGGTGATGCTTCCTTCGTCAGTATACACATTGACTTTGATTTTTTGTTTTGTGTTTTATAAGCAGCCATAAACTGCTTGACATGGATGGTACACGGGCGAGCCGATGAGAAGTTCCTTGTCGAAGCAGTCAACGCTTTTGGGTTTGGCATGGAGCTTGTCTACACTGTGTACGTGTAGACAAGCCATGCCAAACCCAAAAGCGTTCACTGCTTCGGCACGAAGTGATGAAGGCACTTCACTGGCCAGCAGGCGTAAGGGTCTGCGACTGCTTCTCACTCTGGACTGCATTGGCATTGCCACCACACTTGCTGCCACTGGATTACCTTGCCTCATCCGCTTGGTATGTACTTCCAGAATTCGTTTGCGCTCTTAGAGTTTTCTAATTTTTCCTTTTGCATAGTTTCCTCATCCAGATGCGCCTCCTGCGAGCATCCTCGTGGCTCTAGCGGCCTGTGTGTGCAATCTGTTCTGGGCAATCTTCTCTTTCCTGGCTGGGAACTACGCGATGATGGTAAAGTTTTCTTTGCATTTCTCTTCATTAAGCTAATACATTTTTTATTGCAGATTGCTACGAGTGGCGCCGCTTGCTTTGGAGGGCTTCTTGCTCTCCTTTCATGGTTCTGAGTACTTCCACCACTCTTTTTTGGCTCCACACGAGATGGAGAGTCTTTTTCCCTCTTGAGTTTTGTTTTTTTATCTCTACGTTTAGTAGAGAGTCGGCACGACAATAAAATCTGTTCGATACACAGTACTTTCTCCTATTCTCTAAATCTATGCAGAAATGGAGATAGATCTCGACGGGGTTTTCTATTTAATGGCCAGGGCCTTTGTTTATGGTGTCAGGGGTTGATCACTTATTGTTGCTCGTGTTGTAATTCTCTAAAGTGTCCAAGCTCGTCCACACAATTATTTTGCTGATTGTACCTCAGCCTCAGCCAGCATGTGAATTCGGTCCAGCCTCGCTGCCACTGGGGGATACGTCCTGTATTTTCCAAGCCTTACTCTCTCAGAGCTTTTAACAAGCATTTGTTTCTTTCTTCTGTTTCCAGGTTGGCATTCCCAAGGAGCTCTGTTCATGCATGTTGACGTAAGTGGCCAGCCCGTTCTTTGTTCTGGAGATTGACTAGATTTGCTGTTTCCCTGTGTTTGGCAGGCTAGCAGCATCTCTGCGTCGTGATTTCCCTGGATCACGGGAAAATCCATTCCAACTCTTCCCACAAAACCGAGTGGCTTTGATGCCGGAGTAACACCATGCTCAAAGGACACAGTTGGAAGCAGTCTTTGTCAGAAGAAAGCCTCGAGCTGCTCAAGAAGGAAATCCTTCCCTTTGAAGGGGTCTAGCAGCTCGTGTCTAGAGATCTCGATGAGCTCTGGCCGAATTGCCGCCTCTGCTTATGAAGGTACATTCCTTGGATGGAATTCAGGTTTTTGCTTGACACTTTGTGATCTGTAGGGATGAGCTCAAAGTGTTCCCTAGTCAGGTTGATCGTTTGGAAACCGCTGCCGAGCACCGGAATGGCATCAACTCGATCGTCTGATCAATTACCTTACTTTTCATATGGATTTTGGCTAGGTTCAAATGCCAATGCTCCATCCTTATTGTGTGGACTGGAATGCAAATTCCCAGGCAGTCACCGGAGCACGCAGAACAAGAAATGCAAGAGCTTGTGACCCTTGCTCAAACACAGCAGCAAGTATCTTGGAATCGGCATTTGTGAAGCTATACCAACTCTGTGCTTCGTTCCGAGGAAGATTGAAGAGAGTTGTCTTCTAATCCTCACAAAGGTGCAGTTTAACCATTCTATTTATTGCCAACCTTTCCTGGCTCACGTTGCAGGGGAGAGCTAGCAAGTGACCTTTAAAGCTATTGCAGAGAAAGTCCTCCTGGTAAGTAGAAGTGATCATTTTCTGAAGAAACTTATTCATAGATTGCTCTCCATCATCCTCGCCTGCAATAAACCGAGGGAACATGAATCACATCTAAAAGGAAAAGCATGCACTTACCAAATCTCTCAGGCGTTCCGAGATTGGGAGCTCTTGGCCTGTCCTTTTCCTAATATAATAAACCAAATCGACATTTCGTACAGTCAACAAACACGCCTTCCTTGTTCTATCAACCCTTTACGCGGCAAACAAAGAAAAGCTGCTTACTAGTAAATATATTTATATTAAGTTTGTTTTCTTCTCATGCACCTCACAGCATCCCAGATCAAAGAGGAAATGGAAAACTGGTGCTGCATCAAAGTAACGATGTTCAAAACTAGAGCAGCAGCAGAACTGGGCAGAGCTCACCATGGATTCGGCTGGGTTGGGATTTCTTCAAACTTTGGTTTCCGTTCTAACCATCCCATATAACACTTCAAGGTTTGCTAAGCAATCAAATGTATGTGCTCTCAAGTATTTGGTCAGGCACCTATGTGCATGGAGTACGTGTAAGTTATAACTTTGCTTTGCAAGACTGACAGGGAGACATGGAAGTTTGAGGGAGATCACACTTGCAGGCTAATGAAGAGGTTGGACCAAGCTTGTCTCGTGTTTACATGATGCTGATGTTAGCTGCTCTGTAGATTAACTCCACGTTGTCTAAAATATTTTCTAAATTCTCTAGGGCGAGCAAAACTGTGCATGCTCCCAGTGCGTCTGTCAAATGGCCTTGAGGAGAAAGCGGGTTCATGCCCTCTTATGGTGACATAGATGCGAGAAGCAAGTTCGCCCTTTAAAATAGTTCCTACAGTGACAAACCTCGTCCTCTATCGGAAGATGTCTTGGTGATTTATTGTCATGGAAACAGGTTTGTCCGAAGGATTCTTTCCTCCATTTCTTTATTCGTTGGCTGTGGCGCTGATTCCAGGCAACACTTGAGCTTTTGAATTTGGAGCACAGTAAACTTGTTCGTTCCAGTATTAAGTAACACAAATAATTAGATTAAAAAATATTATAGGTTAAATCTTCTTGGATATTCTACGTATGTTTTAAAGCATATTCTTAGTACCACAATACTACAAGGTGCTTACCACATTTTTTTTTCCTCAAGGAGTGCTTTTTCACCCTGATCTAATTATCACGTATTGTTGGTTGGGATTGTGGAAGCAACCGAAGTGAGGAGAAGCACCATAACTCATTTTTACATGTTTTATGGAGTTTATATGGACAGTTTTCATCACACCAACATAGGCTCTTATTTCCTTGAAATTTTCAAGCTTTTTTTCCGCATGATAGGGATTGTTAAAGGTGGCTGGTATTGAGGCATTATTAAAGCTATACGTTAGACCTGGAATGCTTACAGTGTCCAATCGAACTTCAGCTTCATAAATGTACATAGTAGATTTCCTTGCAAAAGTTTTCAACATATTTTCTCTTTCAGGTATGGGATAGTAAGAGGATTTGACAAGCTTCCCTCACACTAACCAGAAATGATCTCTCAACTCCCTAGAGTTGCGTGCCATGCAACTAATTGTAGATTACATCGTGACCTTGGCAAACGAGTGCAGAGAGAGAAAAGAAGCCCTTGTCAAAACACTTAGCATTTGCTAGGTAATTTCTAGTCTATTGTGATATTTATTATGGTTTACCTTTTTCACTTGTTTTACCAAGAAAAGCTCAAAGATTTTATCTTGTCATGGGTGGAGAAAACTCTAAGATTAATGGTGTTTTTGTGTATGTTTTTAGACATTCTTAATGCTTGTTATGATTTGGCGACAGCCAATATTTGATCAAAGCCAACACTACTATGGCATTGTCAGCTGCACAAGCCAAAGCCCAGATGATTGATCCCTGATCACCAGCAAATCACTGTCACAATCATCACAGAGACTAACAGCATTGCATCATGACCACCTCAAGATGGTCAAGCTTGACAACTGTGGCAAGGATGAGATTCTAGGACGGGGGATTCTAATTCGATATATCCTCGTGGAGCCCCAGGCAAGACTAGTTTCTTCAATGCACACAAAAGCTGTAAGAAGGTCAGAGAAAGACTTGGACCACTCCTGCTGGAGAACACTGGTTTAAATTTAAATCCTGGAACTGCGGTTGAGTTGACACACTCATTCTCCTCAAAGTTCTTGCCTCGCGGCTGCCAAATTTTAAACAGGACTCAACAGAACTACCAACTGGAAATCATTGCTCATCTGGTGAGGACACAATAGCTCCTTGGCTTGCCACAATCCCACACGCGAGCACTCATGGCTTGCTGCCCAGTGTCACACACGGAGCACTCTTCTTGAACTCGATAGTATGAGATTTGGCCTTGGCTTTTTTTTCCTGTAATTTATTGTTGAGTAGCCACCAAAAACTGAAACAAACCAGCCGAAACAACCGTCAGGTGGATCCAAGAAACGATTCTGTAACTCACCTGATCTTTTCATCTCTCGCGGCACACGCATCGCAAGTGGATCTTTTCGGATGCGATCCTTTGCGCTCACTTGCTAAAAGCCTAAAACCATCCATAGACCAGGAACTTGGATCTCAGCTCCAGCAATGCGGCAAGCTGACTAGATCGCCCTGGATCGCAGGCATCTTTGATCCAGATGCATGGCAGCCGCCCGTACCTGCAAGGAGCCTGATCAATCTTCCACAGCACCCGCTATCGAAATATTTACACTTGGTCGATTTTTCTTGTCGCGAATGGGCCAACATTGTCTTTGCCGAAGCGATCGACGGGGCCAGGTCGTCCAGGAGGTAGAGGAAAACAGATCGTTGGGAGCCGCTGCTCTTGACAGCATCCCAAAGTGAAATTCTTCTCGAAACAAGCTCTGCTGGTGCACAGCGCGCCACATCAAACCCCTTGGAACATACATTTATTTGCCAATGTGGCATACACATGGTTTTGCCGCGATGCCGGGGCTCTGCGGCGGCGCACTTCTCTCTTTGGAGCTAGAAAGAGGCACCGGACAGGGCACAGCAAATGCGAGCGAGCGCTATCCCGAGGCATTTGGGGTCGCTGTTGCCGGCTTGCGAAATTTCCGATCCGGGCCAGGGAAATCTCAAGACTAGGAGCAAGACGAAGGAGATTTTGAGGTGAATGGTGTGCGATCTGATCAGGAAGGACTACGAGCAGTCTTATGTTGTCACAGGTACACAGGAGGAAAGATGACCACTGGGATTTACAAGAGCCATGGGGTTTACATCCAACCTGGAGGCCTGATCGTGATCTGGGAGGAGAAAAAGGTAATGGATCACAAACCCAAATCTTTTCTTTTTTTTCTTATGTTTGCATGCTACATGTCGATATGGCATGGTTTTGATGAACGACTGGAGTGGTACGTATGCTACAACATTGGTTCATTCCTGCGAACTTATTGACAGTTTCGATCCAACAGCTAGAGATATACAAAGGTGAGAGGCGATACCTCTTGGCCCGTTCCTTGGAAACAGCTTTGGTACTTCCATTGCAACCCTCTTCCACAGGTAATTCAATACTTCGACACGGTAATCTATCGTAATTGTCACCATTCCAGTCCAGGATCCTCGAAGGAAAAAGCTATTCAAGGTGTAAGCAATTTTATTTCCTAAGCTTTGCTCTCTCGAAGCTTTTAGCAAGCATTTGTTTCTTTCTTTTGTTTCCAAGCAGCTCCCTGCATGCATGTATACGTAAGTGGCCAGCCCGTTCCTTGTTCTGGGGGCTTGTTGTAGTATACAGAGGTTGACTGAATTTGCTATTTCCCTGTTTGGCAGCCTAGCAGCGTCCCTGCGTCGTGATTTCCCTGGATCACGGGGAAATTCATTCCAACTCTTCCAACAATACCGAGTGGTTTTGCTGCCGGAGTAACACCTCTTGGAGGTCATTCTTTATAGTCGTGGGGAGGGATGGATTTGTACATGGGTTTACAGAGTAACACCATGCTCAAAGGACATATTTGGAAGCAGTCTCTGTCCCCCCCAGTGGTGGCCTCCCTCTCCATGGATTCATCAGAATCTGAGCGATGAGAGGAAAGCCTCGAGCTGCTCAAGAAGGAAATTCTTCCCTCTGAAGGGGTCTAGCGGCTCATGTCTAGAGAGCTCTGGCGAATTGCTGCCTCTGATTATAAAGGTACGTTCCTTGGATGGAATTCAGGTTTTCGTTTGGCACTATCTGTACTCGTTGATCGTTTTGGAAACCACTGCCGAGCACCGGAATGGCATCAACTCGATCGTCTCATCAACAGGTGCCTTACTTTTCATATGGATTTTGGCTACCAATGCTCCATCCTTGTGCATGCAAATTCCCAGGCAGTTTGAGAAGACCAAAAGAATCAAGCTGAAGGATGGTATTGGGTCTGCAAAGTCAGTAGTGGGCTGTCTGAGAGATTGATTACGCTCGGGTCGTCTTCGACAGGATCCCGTCCACACTGTGTTCTGGCCACCATAGCATATTCTAAGCTTATGCATTCGCATATTCTAAAAGACCACCCTGGCAACCGTCGGATAAGCTGCCAGCCAACGGTCAAGGTGCTAGAGAAAAAGGATGCTTTTAATATTTAGGGAAAGAGGAATTGCTAGGTTACCCTATGGAGCAGGGATTGTTGAGCCCGAATGGTGAGTATGATCTTGCCGATATCTACAAGGCCTGGAATCTTGGTCGCCACTGGATTATGTGGCGCCAGTTCTTGATGAATTTCCTCTGTAATGCCTTCACTGGATATGGGTGTTATATGCTTACCATACACTGGCCCCCTCAGCTATCCCGTCAGGTATCTGTAGCGCTTGGATGCATAGGATTCTTCGTGTCCATGATCTCAACAGGTCAGTTTCTTTTTTTTTTTTTCCTTTTTTTTTCTAGAGACTAACAAGAGCTCCATGTAGGAATTATGCTCTCTCACCATGGTCGAAAGAAAATGATCACTTACGGTTTTCTTGTTGGGGGCATTAGCGGTATTTTTTCTGCAATGATCACGAATCAGTGGCTGGTGTTTCCGCTGGTGGTGATATTATTTTGTGGATTTTTCACTCCCGCAACAATACCTTTGCCTGATGATTGGATCGACGGCGGCAGTTTGGCTCTGTTCATAATGGTTAGCTTCGTGAGGTATATGACTTACATGGCTTGTACTCGGGCTGCCATCGTTGCTCCACCAGTCGGATGGCAAGTTCCAGCCGTTGCACTTGTGGGATCAAGCGCTGCTATTGTCTATGCGATGCTGGTTCACTTCTACATGTTGCAGTCACCACTAGAAATTCTAGACCCTGGTTGTGATGGTTTAACGGAAAGGGATATGGACCAGCGGCTTGCTATTCGACAAGAGAGGGCCATTGAAGCTTTGAGGGAGTTTGCAGAGGCCACAGGGAAGACTCTACCAGAAAACCTGAAGAGCCTTAGGACAGTTTGTGGAAACACCAACAGTTTGTAGTTGGCTTGTGTGTGTCTGAGAGCTCATGAATACAAGATCCCATAGAGGGCACTGAAAAGTTGTGCTCCATGCTTTTGCAATCTTTTAAATTACGTTTAGCACTTCTTTGTGAGTAGTCATCACTTGATTTTTGATATTTTCCTTTTTTACTCTGAACTTGTTCTTCACAAGCTTATGTTCGTGCAAATGGCTAAGGTAAGAAAGCGCCACAAGGTTGAAAATTTGACTTTTTTGGGAAAATGAAATAAGTTACCAAAAGACAAGCTGAGGAGTTCTTTGTTTTGTCTCCATTGACTGGGCCCATTGACCATCAAAAGGTCTCCATCAAGTATGCACCACTTATATCGAAAACCCTAAAATAAAGAAGATCATAATAAATCATTTGATCTTCTTAAAACTTTGCAAGGCTATGTAAAAAGTATCATGACAGTTAGTTTTTATGATCTGCAACTTTAAAATTCAATGTTTAGAATTGGTTAAAAAAAAAGAGGCACTTGCCTCACTTTACAATAAGCTTTACAAAGCTAATAACAGAAACAACACCAATTCTGCCTCACTTATTTTTTATGCCCATAGGCTTGCTTACGTCTATCTTCGCACACATTTCACAATAGTATTCAAAAGGTTGTTCCTTGTTCATGAGATTCAAGTACGAAGCACTCTTGCATAGAAAACAATTTTCTATTGGCATTTGTCATATAATAGTAATTTAAAAAAAAAATCGTGTGCCTTTCAGCTGTATTCACTATTTGTTTAAAGAGCCAAGAGAGAACAGAGAACCACAAATAGAACCAATGGATTATATAGTTTATAATGTTAAATTTATGGTATGCTATAGTTGATATGATCGAGAGACTCAAACTCTATCTCATTCTTGTGAACGTTAACGGGTAATGATTATATAGCCACTTGCCACTTGACGTTCTTGAGCGTGCATTTGTAGAGGAGTACAAAGGCTCAAGACAGTCATGGTAGTGTTGTAAATGTGGCAAGATATGTGTATGTGTAAAATAACGAACCTACCAGATTTTGGTTTTCAAGTAGTGTGGCAATTTTGTCCTATTTTAAAAAAAAATCAAAACAAAGCAATGCAAACCAAGTCTGCGGACAGATGAGCAAGAGGACAGCTATTGTGATTTTTGTTATAGTCATGGACAGTGTCGAACTAATCTTTTATTTGTTCCACAGCATAACACAACATCTCCATGACAACAAGAATTCGCTGCACGAGGTGAGTTCTTCCATAATCCACCTTTCTAGGTCTCAAAACTAAATAGCTGCGCCCTTGCGCTTCATTGATTCTTAAAAGTCAAGGCTCCCCTTCTTGCGCTCCGCAAAGCTTCTCCAGTATTTCACCCGTATCGAACAGCTTTGCAGAAGTAGGCATTTGATGCACAAGTTTGTAGACATCAAAATGCTTGTTTCTCCGGTCTTCCCAAGCTGAGCTTGAGCACGATCAGGTCACCCATTAGGCGCGTGATATCCAAGCTACCACTCCACGCCAGCCGACCCAGGTCACTCTACATGGCATTCTCGGATGATGGCCAGGACCTTCTCATCAAGAGTAGTGTGGAATAAAAGCTGTCCATGGAGATACCTTTGAGTCTCTGGGATGCTGGTACCTCTCTATCTTGCCAGGCCTAGATTCCTTGTTTCTCAGGTTGAGATTGCCAGAATTTAGAGGAATATGGCTTTTGTATGGATAGAGGCGCATTAAAGAGTTTGGCACAGATGGCGGGCTGATGTGGCGTTCACTGAGGAAGTGGCGGCTGTGCTGGCACAGTTTGCCACGCGGATATGCCACGTATAGTTTGAAGTTTAGGGTTCTTGAGAAGTATGGCGATTAATAGGTCCGTGGTGGTGTACGAGAACGATGGCGGCGCGCTCTATAATTACGTCAACAGCTACCTCTCCTCTCTCGCAGTCAATCCGGAGCAGCCGGCGCTCTTCAGGGCGAGCTTGATCGACGACAACACGCCCCTCATCTTGGGGCTCCAGCCGGGCTTTCCCGTGCGTGACAAGTTCCAGGGCCTGGATTTCGAGTGGAGCGCGGGCGTGGCCACTGATGAATCGCCCTATGTCATGGCGGCGTTCCCGCCGCACTGCTCCAACGACGTGATCCAGGCCTACTTTTCTCACATCACCGCCGCCTCCAAGCGCCGCCGCCTTTTCACCGTGAGGCCACCTGGTATGCACGAGATGAGCTGGGCGAGCTGCGAATTCGATCATCCCGCGAGCTTGGAGACGCTGGATAGCTCCATGGATGCTGAGCTCAAGGAGGAGCTGGTCAAGGATCTGGAGGCGTTTGTGGGAGCTCAGGACTACTACAAGAGGATTGGGAAGGCGTGGAAGAGGAGCTACCTCGTCCATGGCCGCCAGGCGAGTGGGAAAGAGCAGCTCGTTGCCGCCATAGCCAACAAGCTCGGCTACGATGTTTATGATCTCGACACTGGGTTGGTGGCGACCAAGGCGCAACTCAAGGAGATCTTGATGAAAACTGGGAGGAGGGCAGTGATCTGTGTGCATGGGATCGATAACCAGTCGGTCATCAAGGTGAAGATGGCGGATGTTTTGGACGTGAGCGATGGACTGTGGGCTCCGGACGAGAGGATCTTCGTGTTCGTGTCGGACGAAGCCAAGCCGGACACCGTCTTCCCGGGCTGCCAGGGCCGGATCGATTTCTACGTGGCCATGGACACCAGCGGCTTCCAGATGCTCAAGTCGACAGTGAAGCTCCACTTGGGCGTGGAGGATCACAGGCTCCTGGGCGAGATCAAGGGGCTGATGATGGATCGGAAGGAGGAGGTCGACGTCGGCGAGCTCCTGGCGCTGGTGCTGGGGACGAGCAGCGGCTCCTATCCGGAAGATGTGCTTGAAATGGTGGCGGAGCATCTCAAGAGCAAGAAAACGAAAACGTCGCCGGCCTCTCCATCGCCCTTCGCAGCAGCAGCAGCAGCACCGTCACAATCGCCCTTCGCACTAGCACAATCGCCCTTCGCGCCAGCACCAATATTCTTCGCACCAGCACCAACACCACCGCCACAATCGCCCTTCTTCGTACCAGCAGCACCAGCATCACCCTTCGCACCAGCACAATCGCCCTTCGCACCAGCAGCACCATCGCATGCTTTCGAGCACACATTCAGTCCGTGTTTTGGCGGAGCTCAAGCGCCGTCCGGGGCCTTCTTCACACCATCGTGTCCTTTCGAGCAGGTATCGACCCAAGCTCCAGCAAAGAACACGTCCTCCGGAGGCTCGTTTCCAGCGAGGGCGGCGTCGTCGACGCCCAGTGCTGCACTTGGGACGGCGGCGACGATTTTTGGCGGAGGAGGAGCTCCAGCAAGCGCGCCCAGTGCTGCATTTGGGGCGGCGGCGTCGGCGGCGTCGGTGTCCCCGGAGGAGGCGCGAGCGAAGTTTTACCGCTGCTACAACGTGGACAAGCATTACGGCGTGACCATGGACAACTTGGACGCAAACTCCCCATTCTGCAAATCGAAACCCAGTGCAGAAAAGAAAACTCTCTCCGCTTAGATTCCCCTCTCCAGGTTTTCGATTGATACCATGCTGCTAGTAAAGCGATGTTTCCTTTGAATCCAAATCTAGTAGGAAGCTTTTTGATCTAGTTGTGTCTATGTAGAGGAGACCAGGCCGCACTTATCACGGCCCGTGAGCCAAGTAAAGCCGGCAGACAGCACCTCCTTGGAATCTTTGTCACTCTATGTGCCCACAACCGTGTGAAAATCACAGCTCTCGCCACACCGGCTTAATTGTGCACAAACCATTCTACCATAGCTCTCTCAAAACCCTAGACCCAGCCGCATTTTCACACGCAACCAACGGCCCAGATCGCATCTCCGCACCTCAACGGTCCAGAATGTTAATTAATTATTTCTACACAAATCCTTAACGAGAAATCGTTAGCGCTTGGCTATGGAGGGATGGAACTTAGCAGCACGAAAATCGCCGAGTTGCATCGTCCTGGGGTGATTTTCCATCGCCGGCCCCGTTCAATCCGAGCTTCTGGCCGCGAGGGACGCGGTCGTCTTTGTCGTAGTCGTCCGGGACGATCCTCCGGCTCTTGGCGTCGAAGATCTCGCGGACAACGTTCTGGAACGCCGTCTTCACGTTTGTGGACGCCAGCGCCGACGTCTCCATGAAGAAGAGGTTCTCCGACTCGGCCAGCTCCTTGCCCTCCTCGACTGATACCTCGCGGATGTCTGTGAGATCGCACTTGTTGCCTACCAGCATTGTCACCACGCTCGATCCTCCGTAAGCTATGAAGGCGAAGCTGAGTTAGAGCAATCAAAAGCCCAAGGCAATCAAGCTCAAGCACTAGTGGAAACAGAGAGGCCTCTAAGCCAAAGTGGATTTCACGCATCAAGGGAGTGTTAACTAGACTGTGCATTGATGAAAAGGCAGCAAACCACGTCGCGAAGAACACCAAGAAAAGAATGATTTCTACCACCATCTAGGCCGTGCATCAAGAACAATGTAAACATGACGACGTGAACAAAATCGACAAAGAGAGAAAAAAAAAAACAAAGCGATGCAAACCAGGCTACTAATGCAAACAGAGAGGCCTCTAGAATTTCAAGTAGCAAATCAATATCAACTAGACTGTGCATCGATAGATACAAAACAACGTCGCGAAGAAGAAAAGAATGAGTTCTATCACCATCTAGGCTGTGAATCTGCCACGAAGTCAAGAACAATGTAAACATGACAATGGAAAGAAGAAATCCCAGTGCAAAGCGATGCAAACCAAGTCTAGGACAATGCAAGCAAGAAAAATGAAGGCAAAGCACAAAGAGTTCCGAGGAGAGTAGAGTAGAACTTACTTCGCAGCTCATCGAGCCATTTGGAGATGTTCTCAAAGGTTTGCTTCCTGGTGATATCGTAGACAACGAGGGCTCCAAGCGCGCCCCTGTAATAGGCCGATGTCACAGCCCGGAACCTCTCCTGCCCAGCCGTGTCCCATACCTGCGCCTTGACCTCCTTGCCATTGATCCTCATGCTCTGCGTCTGGAATTCCACCCCAATCGTGGCCTTGGAGTTGTGATTGAACTCGTTGCGCGCATACCTCGTCAGCAAATTCGACTTGCCCACCGCCGAATCGCCGATGAGCACTACCTTGAAGATGTAATCCTCGCCGGCCTCCTCCTCCTGGTACCCCATCGATCGATCGCGCTTTCTTTCGACCCTAGCTAGCTAGGCGGCCAAGAATCCCCCGAAATTTCGCTTCCTTGTGGGAGAAATCTGCGAAATCTTGGCAATGCAGTACCAGGAAACCGGATTTCGAGCGCGATCTAGCGCCGCGGCTGCTCGGATCAAACCTATGGCGACGATGATCGCATGGAAAGAGAATCTGTACGACTGCGGCAGAGAAATCACATCAATGACGCGAGAACAGCGCCTGAGCTAACTGCAAACCCTACGACCGCTCATCACTCTCTACAAAAAAAATGGATCGAGTTGATCCACCGATCCCTCCCTTGCGGAGACGTCACGTCGTGGACACGCTGGATGCGTGTGGCCCCATCGCCACCGTTGCTTGTGCCACGCTCATCGACGGCCACACTTTAAAGTAGGGGAAGATTCCTCGCGCCCTAAAATCCATTAACGGAATGTGCTTTGCTAGTGGCCTGGCAGAATATCCTAAGTAGCCGACGGAATATCTCTCAGCTCTTTCCTCCTCCCTCCTGTTCGTTCTTCTTTCCAAACCAGCTCGCGACGATTGGCGTCAATGCCACTGTTGGGGGGAATCGAATTGGCGAAGCAGCTTTGTGTGCGGCGTACGCGAGCGCCAAAGTTCCAACTTTCTCGCCAGTTTCGTTGCTCTGGATTCCCACCTGGTTGGATTCGCGATGGAACTTCGTGAGTGAAGCACACAAAGAATTCGATTGCTCGCTTACCTTTGCAAGCAGCGATGGAACGTCCACTCCAGCGTTGATGAGAAGGTAGCACAGCGCGAACGAGACCGCCGAGAGAGAGATGGAAGTGACTAGATACGCGCCACCGTATCTAGCGAGTAGCTCTTTGGCTTGGACTTTCTTCTCGCCGCTCTCGTTCTTCTTGGAAGAAAAAATCTGCAAGACGAGATTTTTCTGTGAGAAAGGAAAAAGGGAGAGCGAAGTCGAGAGTTACCTTCCACAGACCAGCTTCCAATCCAAATTTCCTCGTCACTTCTTCGACACCGTCGTCTTTGTTCACAGCATCTGTTTCCACCGACTGCTTCGTTTCCTTCTCCTTGTTCATCACAGCGCTGCATATCCTTCTTGGCCTTCTCGTTTTGGACACACAAAGGCCTGCCCCCGTTCTTCTCTGCGGCCGAATTGTCGACCCAAAACTTAGAGCTTGCGAACAAGCCATGGCCACCACCGCCATTCCCTGGACTAAAGTTCTCTTCTAACAAGTATCCCACCGCCCCAGCTCCCTTAACAGTGATCTTTCTCTTAAACACAAACTCGTTATTGTTAGTCAATGATACAAAACGAAGCTGTACAGTAACGAATACACACATACGTACTACACGCGTTGCTTTCAGAGGCCCTGGTAGAGAAGCACGACCGGAACGGCCACCAAAAAGATGGAGGCCACGGTCGGGACGAGGACTCGCTGGTGGAACGCACGGCCGATCCCTCCAGCTCGAGAGATGTGTTGGAATCCCAAGTAGGATGATAGTGTGGCCCATATGATCAGTCCCGCTTGAGTCCCTCTATCATACACGGAGCAAACAAAGTTTGGCATCACTTTCTTGAAAGAAAGAGTGAGAAACTATACCTTTGCTGCATCACTTGGTATGGAGCTGTAATGACGAGCAAGAGAAGAACCAAAGGAAGCTCAAGCTCTCCTGTTAAATACTACCATGGTTACACCAACGAGAGAAGAAAAACTCGAGGCTATCAACGAACCTGGTATGGTGTAGAAAAGCCGGACAGTAAGCGCTAGAAATGCTGACCACAATCCATATTCACCCCTGCAAGACCAAGATCAATATCAACACACAGGCAGAAGAAAAAACCAGTGAAAGCGGAAACTTACTTCATCCAGTTGATAACATTTTGAGGCATTTGCAATGCCAAGAGTGGAACGAGCAGCGATTTTCGAACTCCAGTGTTCTTAACAAGGAGAAGAGCCCTGGAAGAAAAAGAAATCAAGACCAAAGCTTTCATCGCAAAGAGAATTCTTACACAGCAGACACTGTCGAGACCCATCGCAGCGTCTCGCCCGAGCACTGCACAGAGAAAGCTCCAGTTTGACATCCCCTCTTCATCATTCTCGATGAAAATGCCAGTGGAATTTTCTTCCTGGCGAGACAAAAAAAAAACAGAGAGAACGACTGTTCAAATCGGGAACGTTCTCCAACTGTCAAGGGGGAAAAATGTAACCGATCCAAGAGCCAATCCAAGCGAGGGACGCGTCGGACTTACCCGATGGTCGACGAGGAGGAAAATAACGATCGCCCGCGCGGCGCCGGCGATCCCAGCTGCTGGCGATGGCAGACAAGATCCATCCGCAGCGATCCACTCGGGATCGCCATCGACGCAAGCGCCAGTGGCATCGCCATCGCCATTCTCAAAACCCTAGCCTAGCTTGAAAATGCGAGCCTAAAGTTTTTAAAATTTCTCTCAAAAATTCATCTTCTTCTTCCTCTCGCGTTTCGCTCAGACCTGGTGCTTGACGACGCGCTGCGAGTGCGATTTTTTCTTCTTGTGCGTGGTGATGGCGATCGCCATATCGTTGGGGAGGAGCGTCCCCCACAGCACGGCGTGGAGGATCGAGAGGACGAGCACGCAAGCGACGATCGCCACGGACAAAAAGATGAAGAAGCTTGTCATTGCATCGGTGAGCCACGAGGAGACTACCAGGCCGTAGCGATTCGCGGTCATCGCCATTGCTGCCACTGGGAATGTGTAAGCCCACCACGCGATCGAGAACCTGGAAGCCAAGTTAGATGCGAGGAGAAAGAAAAAATCGATTTTGACGAGTACCTGAAGCCGCGAAAAAAATTCAACCGGACAATCTGCTCGAAGATGAAAAGCGAAAAACGATACGATTAGTTTCCGGCTGGAGAAAAGAAATTCTAGCTAGAAAAAAAAATAAAGCAAGCTTACCAGTGAGATGAAGAGAAAGAGTCCCACGAAGTGTATGAGCCTGGCCGGGTAGTCAAAACTTCCAGCGAGCATCTCCCAGGCCTCGCTAGCGATGCTTGGAGCAGCGATGAAGAGGAAGAACACCGGGTGGAGCTCCTTCGGGAGCGTCTCGTTGGTCGGCAGCCTCTGGTAGAGCGTGACGAAGAGAACCACGTAGTGTGCCAAGCCGACCGCGAAGAGGAAGGTCGCAAACTCCTTCCACCCAACGACGTGAGAGAGCAACGATCCGACGAAGTTGCCCGTGAGCGCCAGGTGAGTGGTCGGGTTTGCGACTTTGGACAGCCTTCTCTCGCCTCCAAACAGCCACTGCCCGTAGATCTTCACCTCGAGAGCAAACACCGGCCCCATGAAGACGCCGAGCAGCCACGGATGGAGCCGCTTGGCGATGTCCTTCGGGGTACTCAGCGCCAGCAGCATGGCCGCCACCCAGGGAGCGAAGAAATAGTTGACTCTCACTGGATGATGAAACTCCCGGCGCACGGCTTCGAAGTAGAAGACGCACTTCAATGCGTAGGCCGAGAAGATGACGGTGTGGACGAACACCCCGATCGACCACAGCGCGAAAAGCACTCCGTTGGGGACGTGTTTCAAGTAGCTCAGCGATGATGCGTCGTGGATCTCGGCCCAGAGAAGAGACTGCGCTGAGAGTCCGATGCTTACTCCGAATACATTGGCTGGTACGCGAAGTAGAAAAGGCCACTTTTGATCCAGTGGCAACAGCAAATCCTCGGAATCCTGGAGTGGACAAGGTTACCTCTCTGGATCATCGAGCTCGCGGAAAAAGCTTACCTTGAGAACTTCGAGCTCGGGGCCCTGCAACGCATCGAAGAACCTCCCCGCCGGGAGCTCCTCGTCGGTCTCAAACTTTGGTGGAGGCGCATCGCCGTTCTGCTTGGAGAGCCACGGGATTTGCTTCTCTAGGCTCTTGGACGACCTTGTCTTGAACAAGTTGTAGCTCGTCGACGTGGGTGGCGATTGCGGCGGCGACTGTGAAACTCGATCAACTTGACTGGAACCGGCCTCGGGTTGCTTTTCTGGCGGCTCGTCCAGAGGATCACTCCTCCCCATGACCCTAAGAATCGCCCGCATTCATGTGAAAACGGACAGTTAGTCGACGTGGCTGACCCCTCCAATGGTTTGCCTGCTCCTGTATTCCTGTTCATCTCCTGTTTCCTGTTTCCATTTCTTCCACTGCCACTAGACTGGAATCGCGATCGAGAAAACGTCCTGCTCGGAGATCTTCCACGAGTAACTCTTTCTCGAGCGTTGGTTTTGCAGAGTCGTGTTCTTCCGCCTCTCGAGAAGAACTACTGAGCTATTGCAACTCCTCGTCGTTCTAAGCGTGACGAAGGACTTTTTCGTGGCACAAGGTATCTTCACGGGTTCCATGCGCTCTGGAAAAGACAGGTCCGAAGAAGGCTGGCTTGGGAAGTTCTTCGTCTTCTCTCCACCACCTGAGGCTTGTTTCTGCTGTTGATGCCTCCTGAGCATCGGGAAAGTAAAAGCTCGGAGCCATGGTGATATTGTGATCGCCGCAAATGCCGTAGGAAACGCTGACTTTGAGGTTCTATCCGAGATTTTCTCGTCCGGCCTGTTGCTGTCCTCTTCTAGCATCGCCACCTTACCAAAACCGCGAGGTTTCTTATCCTCTTCTCCCTCTTCTTCGCCATCTTCATCTTCATCCACTTTACCGAAGCTTCGAGGTTCGTCTTCGTCGTCAGCTGTTTTTCCAAAACTTCTCTTGGTGTCCTCTTCAGGCTCAACCTCATCCTGTTCCACCGCTTTGTCAAGAGTTGAAGGCTCTTCTTCTTCCTCCTCATCTTCCTCTACCACAGTTTTCTCCGTTGGCTGTTCCGGCTTTTCCATCTTCTCGGGTCCCTTCTTTTTAGCTTCTTTGCGCAATCTGTCTGCTTCGTCCATCGCCTGTTCAATCTCGTCCAGCTGTCGCAGCTCCTCTTCAATTGCCTCATCTTCAATTTCAGCTCTCAGCTTCATTTCCTCTTTCCGTTCCTCGTCCTCCTCACGCCACCTCCGCTCCATTTCTTCTTTCTCCTTTTGCCATTCCCGTTCCATCTGCTCGTCTTCTTCCTTGTACTTTTTCAGCCTCTCCTCTCGCGTCAGATCTTGTGGATCCTTCAGTCCATCTGGATCCTCCATTGGCTCGTCCGAGAAAAACTCGTCCCAACCATCAGGTAGAAACACAGCTTCCTCCGGCTTTATAGATCCGTCTTCTTTGTATGGCTGCCAGAAGAACTTTATGTTTCCATCTTTATCGTAGATCCAGTTGATCAGTCGACCGGTCGGAACATGATAGAGGATTTCTCCCTCGAAATTTGGATGAGACTTCAGCACGTTCTCCTCGTCAAGCCATCCGTAAGAGGAAGGCTCGTTGGTTAACACTATAAACTCGTCACCTGTAACAATATTCATCACTTCAGAGCAACCCAAGTGTAGAATCAGCAAATGTACCATTTTCCCACATGTATTCCAGCTCGGCAGGCATTGGTATTCTTAGCGGTGATTTGATGAACGAGTTAAGCCACATTTGCTGTTCTTTATCCACCTCCTCAACGTAAATCTTCCATGGATCGGGAACCTGCATCTCACAGAAAAGAGAAGACATACATTACAAATTTAAAACTTCAAAATGAAGCTGAGGCCGACCTCGTAATAGGCATTGACCCAGCCTGGAGCCATCCAAACATCTTCATCTTCGTAAAAGTAAGGATGCTGAGGATCATTGAAAGGACCGTCCATCTCCCGCACCACTGCAAGTTTTTTATGCTTGAGCTTCCACCGTATAGTTAAAAATGTACGTACTTCCATCCGGTTTTTTAGTGAACATCTTCGCTTTGGCTGCAGCCACTTGGGCTAAACCAGAGTGGATCTACACGACGATCAAGTAAAATTAATAATGCGAATGTCTGTAGCATAGTACTCACAGCGCAAGCCTCCAAAGTACATTCGCCGGGATCTCCTAAGAGCTCTCCAAAATAGAACTTTCCCTGAACAATATAAGCCAAGTTTGACACATCTGTTGGTGTAAGAAAGAACTCTTACGTAAATCAGGCGCGTGTTCACATCAAGCACGCCACATCCGTGCATACGATTATGCTTCCACTGTCCAGAATATTTATATCGACCCTTTTCTCTGCAAGTTTCGCAATACCAGTAAAATGAAATAAAACAAGAAAAGTAACTTACGGCAATTCTCCATACAGCTCAATCCAGTATGGATCGTTTTCATACAACTCGGACTCTTTCATGGTTACGTTCGGCTTCTCCAGTGTATCTTCAATGTCCTTCTTTAGCCATTCACGTTCTTCCGGAGGCATGTAGTCAGCTTTGATAATCCAGCCTTGATCTCTCATTTCTTTCTCGAGCCTGCAAAACAGAACGGAGTAACAACGTCACGACACAAGTCACAGACTTACTTGGAGTCCGGCGGCGGCTGATATACTGGAATATGAACATGAAGCACCCCGTGTCCTTCCATCATGTTTCGCCGCCACATACCTTCATATCTGCGCATCCAAACTTGTCAATCTCATATGCACAGAAATGTCAGATGAAATGGCTTAACTGTACGTCCTCAAACATGGATGTGTAGACTCCCTTTCCATGAGCAAGGTCGTCCCAAATGGTTCCTTCGTAGCTGAGAAAATCGACAGAAAGAGGTATAAAAAATAAATAGAAAAGGAAAAAGAACAAACCTCGATCCATCAGGAAGATATAACTCCCCCACACGTAAGAACTCCTCGATCTTTTCCAGCTCTTCCACCACATCAAACGCATTCTCAACCTCGGCATGGATCTTTGGTATGGAAGGATAAGGCAGGCGATAAGGCACGTAGTATGGCCGTGCTGGATATCCATCCTCGGTCAGCGGCGTTTTAGCTTCTTCCTGTGCTCA